AAGCATCAGTGAAATTACCGAATTTAGCAAAGATCATCGATGGATGCTAAAATCGTTAGGTGAATGATTTTTGGAGAACAGTATATTTGCATTTGCTTGGTGCCTAAATATTATCCCTTCTCTCTAACCTCTGACCTATTCACTAATAATAAAGGGGGAAATATATCTTTACAAAGAAGCGTTCTGGGGTTACCAGTTAAGCAAGTAATCCAACTCATCACTTACAAACAACTTGATACAATGAGCTTTTTAGTGTGATAGAGTTCAGAGTACACAGTATGAGCTCTGAAATATTCTTACCCAAAAAACCAACCCTAATTAAATGTTTAGATCTAATTTCCAGTTCTTAGGAAATAAAAGAGCAAAAGAACAAGTTAAGTGATACCACAAGGAAACAACAGCACAAATAAAAATGTAGAATGGCCCATAAGATAGCTGGTCTGGTTCTTTTCAAAATGAAAACATCGTGAATTTTTAAAGATACATTAGGTGTTAGATGCTGCTAGAGAATTGTTGTTAGAGGAAAATGCCCTTATTTTTAAGAACTACATGTACAAGTGTTTTGGGGAAAAGTGACATAATGCGTGCAACCATGCCTAGTCATTATTATTACTTTGATACTCATAACATCCCAAATTTGGCCAGTAAGCCCAAAGGCCTTTGAGTTGGTTCAGTATCTGACATAGTCCTAATAACCTAAGACAATTCTGCTTTCTGTCTTAACAAGAAGTCCCAGTCAAGCCTGTGTTTTTGTGTACTACCCTACATTCAAATTTTCCAGGAGAGAAGTATGTACCTGTGGGGGGCTTAAAAAAACCCAGAAAACAGAATGTCATAGCAGATGTGTCATGACCTTTTGGTTATCAAACCATTCCAAGTTGAAGGTTGGAAGAATATGTAGAATCATCAGGTCCAGCCACCCATGTAAGTATTTGTAGCATTGCTAGAACTCACTCCCCGACAAGTGCCTAGACACTATGATTCAAGGAATCACCTCATTGGGATATACCATTTTATCACAAAGCTGCCACATACTAGCTTCTTAGTTTTAGCATTTCTCCTTGAAGCCTATGGATCTCTGTGAAACTCAGGCCTAAAGGGTCCACTAAATGGTCTAAGAGGAACTCAGCCCTAACAGATAACTTCCTCTTGTCTTTCCTATCTTATATTTAAACAGGGAGATTTTTTCCCTGGATGTGACTGGACTGATTTTTCAAACACTCTACATGACTCACAAGGCTGTACTGATTTTCAGGCCACTTCACATACTTAAATAAAAACATGTAAATATAGTCTGGGCTGGGATTTTAATTTCTGCATAAATGGGGTGCTGAAATTCATCTCAAATTCCTACTACTCCCATTCGTCTCACAGGCTGCTACAAGAGCGGTCTCTCTGGAGCACTCCCTGTTTGGTAACCTCTATTGCTTAACCTCTGCAGAGTCAGCATGTGCTTAGCCCACTGCAGGTGCTCAGTAAATACTACAGGATATTTGATTGGAAGGGGACACAAAAACTAAATAAACTGACTGGCTGAGCTGTTTGATCTCATAACTCAGCTGTACTGTTCACTGTTGTCAAGAAAAAACTTCCTTGAGTTTTAAACAAGTTACTTTACATAAAGTAGTGTTTAGAAACTGGCCTAACAAACTTTTAACATTTTTATTCAGCTTATATACCTAAATATTCTCTCCCTCTCTCCTCTTTCCCTTCCTCCTTCTCAGAGAGACCACATGAAGGCTGAGGTACAGGTAGAGAGACTGCTATAATACGTCTATAAGCCACAGGAGCCAAAGATTGCCAGAGCCACTAGAAGCAAGAAAGAGGCACAAAATGGATTCTCCTTTAGAGGTCAAAGAAGGAATCAACCCTGCTAAAACCTTGATTTTGGACTTCTGGTTTCCAGAAGTGACCTCAAAACCCAGCCTACTACTGCCTATGTAACCTTGGACAAGTTACCTAACTTCTGTACAATCTAGTTTTATATCTGTATCATGGGGACTCAAAAAGACACCTCGCCTATAAAAGTTGCATGAAACAATTTACTATCTCAATGCCTGGGGGGGAAAAGGGGAGAGAAGAAGGAGGGAGGGAAAAACAGAGGGAGGAAGAGAGAGGGAAAAAGAGAGAGAGTATATGTATGTGTGTGGTGCTAGGGATTGAACCCAGGGCTTCATGCATGCTAGGCATATGCCCTACCACCAAGTTAAACATCCAGCTCCTTTTTCTTACATTATTTGATAATTAGTTGTGTAAAAAATTCTGGGTGCATAGATTCTTCTTAGGGTTCAGGTTTTCTAAAGGATAAATTGTATATACGAAGTAACAAAGATAATACAGACGTTCCTACATGGAAAATGCTTCAATTTAACAAGAATATAGAAAAAAATCAAAACAAAAATAACTTCATTGCATGATAATACCTGTGTTAAACTAGCAATTATAAATGAAACTTGAAAAGCCAGTATTGGCAGATTGGGAGGTAGTTGGTTCACTTCTCTGTAGATACTGATGGTGGCACTACAAACGGGCCCTGGCTTTCTGGTGAACAATCTAGTTGCACAGTAACTGTAAAACTTTTCACACCTTTGGGTCCAATGATTCAGCTGGAGGAACATATCTTAAGGAATGACTTGAAGAAAAACAAATCTCTATGCAATGTATATTAGTGATCATGAAGACATATAACAAATTCCCCAAACAGGAGAAAGACCATGTATCACTGTATACATCAACACAATGATATATTGTGAAGTCACTTAAAATGAAAAGCATGTGGTCTATTTCAATAAGTGGAGGTATATAGTCAATCTTAGTAGCAACGAGTAGCAATGTTTGTGATTAAAAACAAGGGGCTCTGAAATCATACACTTTTAAATTTGAATCATGGTGCTGCCAACTGCATGCTTTCAGCTAATGTTTCCTTTCATCCCTCCCCTCACTCCCTTTCTTTCCTCCCCCCCTTCCTTTCCTTCCCTCCCTTTCTTCCTTCCAATGCAAGGAATCAAACCTAGGGTCTCTACCACTGTGCTATATCCCCAGTCTAAGGTGTATATTTTATTTAAGTAGAAAAGAAAAATCATTAAAGAGCAAGCTCTCATATCAAACTGCCTGAGTTCATATCTCAGTACTGTCACTTGCTGGCCACATTACCTTAGGTAAGTGACTTAACCTCACAATATTCCAGTTCTAATTCATGTGTCTAACATGGATAATATTAGCCTAATCTACAGATAATAATATGACCTATCTCATAAAGTTCTTATAAGTTTAAAATGAAGTAATGCCTGCAGAGTGCTTGGCAAAAGTGCCTGACATGTATGCACTATGTATGTGCATACATAATGTATTCATTATGTCAGAAATTTGTATTTCTCAATTACTATAATATGTATTGATTATGTTTCCATTATGTTCCTATATTGCATCAAATGTATTCATTACATTTAATCTTTATAAGAACCTTACAAGGTAACTATTATTATAAAGAAAAGATTTTAAAAATGAGCTTAGAGGGATTGGTGAGAAAAAGAGAATTAAAGATGGTTGGTAGACCCCCCCAACTACAAATTTGCAAAGTGAAATGCACTTATACATTTGCAATGATAGGCATAGACTAAAGGTCATTAGTCTACCTTGTTTAAAGTTACTCAAATTCCTATATTTGTCTTTTCAAATAGAAGCAAGCATGTATTAGTTGGGGACCCAGTCCCACTGCCTTTATTGATCCATGCCCTTCCTTCCCCCGAGCAGGGACCAGGCCACGTAATAAATGTCATTAGGGCACTGGCTTCTGACCAGCAAATGCTTACCTGGAGGAGATAGAGGAGTCCTGGGACAAACAAAGTGATTGGGTACAGAGACTGGTATGTTGCTAAGGCAAGAAACATAGCACTGAGGAAAGCACTGCCTGTAAAAAGAAATAAACGTATAGAATAATCCAGTCTCATCAGTCAGGATTAGATTCAGCAAATCCCTATCAACACGAAACTTTCCATAACTGCTGAAATAATCAGCTGCTAAGTGTTTCCTGGTACACAAGATACTATGCAAACTCATGCAGAGTGAGAGCTTCTTGGCTCAATTCCCCATGAAAAGAAACCAAGGAAGTCAAAATCATCTACCTTTAGCAACTTGAGATGCCAAAGCATGTTTTGTGTGAAATTTTCAGCCCCAGAAAGATTTTTACTAAACTTCAGCTAAAGATGTATAAAGAGGTCAAGTCTATTAACACCAAGGTCCTATTTAATGTGTTAGTTATTAAGCCTACATTTATTGTTTATGATGTTCAGAGCTGTGAAACTATCCATTTGCATTTTGCAATACCCCATCATTCTATAATACTCCTTCCTTATGTGCTAAGATATGTTTTTTTTTCTAAAGAAAAGTATATTAATTTTTATTAATAATGACCTCATTCCCTACATAAAATGAACTATTATGGAATCATTAAACATGTTATAAAAGAACTTGTAATGACATGGAAAGATGCTTAAAATGTCCTATTAAGTGAGCCTTTCAAAAAACAACCACCAAAAAACCGTGCCCAAGCATTTACAAAAAAAAAAAAACACTAGAAGACTAGACTACAAAGTTTGATTGTTATCTTTCTGAGAGGTAGGATTATGGATTGTTTTTCATTTTTGCTTCTCTGTATTCTTTAAAACTTTCAAAAATAAACATGCTTTGTTTTTGTCATAGGAAAATAACTGATTTTTAAAAAAATAGCTACTTCTCCCTTTCAGATAGTTTAAGACATCAGGATACCCTAAAACCAAAGCTAGAGAGCCTAAGTTTACAACAGGGGTTTCAAAATGGCCCAGAAATCAGTCAGGTATAATGGTCCAAGGCTGGTGTTTCACAATGACTATGTTTCATAAAATGACAATACTTATGGTCACTCTCATTAGTATGGGGTTAACCGTTCACTAAAAATAATAGACATCTTCTCAACAGTGTTTCATAAAAAGAGGAACTAGTCATTCCATTCAGTCCAAGGAGTTTTACCCCTCTACCAATCCAGCTCCAGGGACAAACAGGAAGAGACGATAAGCTCCTTTGCTCACCAAAGTGAAACATGTAAGAGACACCTTGGAAGAGGAGGGCACTATGAGTTTGATGACTTCATAGAAGGAGGAATAGAGAGAAAAGTTCTTTGAGTGCTCCATCCTTCAAACCAAGAAAACCTGCTAACTAGGAACAATCCTGGTAGACAGAATATGAAGTGGAAAGAGGGCAGTTTATGTGGTGGTGCAAACTATGATCCCAGCTACTTGGGAGGCAGTAGGATCTCACTTCAAAGCCAGTTTGGGCAAAAAGTTAGCAAGAATCATCTCAACAAACAAGTTGGGCATGATGATGCACAACTAATTCCCAGTTTTGTGGAAGGATAGCTGTCTTTTGTTGCTGGCTCCTGCAAAATGCAAGACCCTATCTGAAAAATAAATCAAAAAGAGCTGGAGGTGTGGTTCAAGTGGTAGAGTGTCTGCCCAGAAAGTGCAAGGCCCTGAATTCAAACCTGAGTACTAAAAAAAAAAAAAGACAGAGAAAGGAGGAAGTTGTGCATAAAAGATAAAGGACAGAATTCCTTGACAGAGGCTGTCCCATCATATTGATGAGTGTTGAACAAGATGTCTGGACCCAAGATACTTGTAAAAATGACTAAGCAGGGACAAAATCAAGCCTAGCTAAGTTATGCAGCCAGCAGAGGCCTCCACACACCTCTTGAGCCAGACTCTAGAACTAGAACCACTATGAGATAGGGAAATGGCACAGTAGGAAAGATGTCCTGGTACCTAACAATGAGGGTAGGCTAAAGATTTCTTGACCTGGCCAAAAATCTGAATGACATTTTGTGGGGAAAAAACTGGAAAGAACTTTTCATTTAACATGGTTTTCTACAGATTTGGGTGTGGGAGAAAGAAGAGGCCCATGCATTTGTTACTCAAGGAGGAAGGCTAATGTCCCAACTCCATCCATTCTTACAAATAAGATGAAAATAAACACATGGCATTCACCGCTCTCTGTCCCAGGAGACACTAGGGAGTGAAATAAACACAGTTACCTCCTGCCCTAATTGTCTGGGATCAATAATAGCTTGCCTGAAACAGCTGACTATTTATGAAGCCCAATAGAGAAAAAAAGGTTTATAGCCTAGTAGAATAGACTTGCAAATTTTAGAAAACTTGCTCTGAGGATCAGGAAGAAGCAGTCTTCCTTTCTTAGATTAAAGTCTTGAAATATATTTTTTTCCCCTTCAGTGCTGGGAATTTAATCTAGGGCCTTACATGATAGGCAAGCCATCTACCATTGAGCTACATCACTGGCCCCTGCACAAAATCTTTCGAAGGGAAAAATCTGTTCCTCCTGCTCTTTTGTCAATAAGTAGCATCAACATCCAGCTAGATACCACTGCTATTCTTCACCAGCAGTACCACATTCCTTATACCAGTTACCAATATCACTAATCCACCTCCAAAGCACACTTCACTTCAGTTCTGCTCTCATCACCAGTTTTCAGCAGCTTCTTCCTTCCCCTCCTGTCCAGTCCATCTTCCATGAGAAGGATCCTACTAAAACTGATCTTAAAAGACACTGATCTAAACTTTAAAGACAAGCCTATCTTCAAAGACTTCTGAAGGTTCTATTTCATCTATCATATTAAATCCAAACTCCAACAGCAAGCAAGATCCTTACCATCGAGATTCCAAGATGGCAGCTAGAGGGAGGAAGCAGAAAGCGTGCCTCCTAAAGTAAAATCTTGGAGAGACGCTGGAGATATACCTTACAGGAAAAATCACCGAGAAGAGGCAAAACTTTGACTCCTCCACACCCCAGCCCACATGTAACATTCCCACTTCATGTTAAACGGAGAAAGCAGGAGGGCTCCCATGCTGCCAAGAGATGGCAGCACCCAGACGGCTTGGGAAGACGCAGACCACAAGGTGATCTAAACAGCACCCAGTACTCCCACAGACAACCCTGGACCAGATCAGCATAAGCCCCCTGGACAGACCGACCCCCACTGGACAGACCGACCCCCAACTGAATAATAAGCAATAACAACAAAAAAGACATGCAGCAAAGAGGGCGGGGCACCCTGAATGCCGAAGGGTGGGGAGGGGAAATCCCTCACAACAATCCGAATGGAGAAGGCAGAAGCAGCGGCACACGCCCAGCAATCAGGAGTGGGAAAGCTTGTAAAAGTGGCGGTGGGAGGAAAAGTCCACAGGAGAGGGGGGCAGCCCACTTCCTACATGAACTGTAAATAAACATGCCAGCCTGACAAATCAGGTGCAGTGTCACCTCCCCCAGTGTGCTTGGAAAGGGGAAAGCTTGTAGCAGTGGCATGGCACCCAGGAGAAATCTAAGTAAACAAAGCCTGCAGGGCCAGGTGAGTGTTAAGCTCACCCCAGAGATCTGCATAAATAACACTGCCAGCAACAGCAGGCTGACAGCAGTGGGCAGGTGAGCCACAGCCACAGATACCATTCACAGAGCTGTCTCCAGACTCTTTTTTTGTCTCCCTTCCTTCAATGAGACAACTGAACTACACCTACATGCTGAAAAACTTACTGAAACTGTATTGCATTTGAACTTGGGACACTTTGTGGTGTTTTTTGTTTTCTTTTCTTTTGGTTTTTTTCCCCTTTGATGAGACAATGACAGAACTACTTCTGAGTCACCATCTCCAGGATTGCAGGCTGAGGGGACTAACACCAAAATTATTAAGACTGAAACTTTATTGCATTTGAACTTGGAGACTTTTTAATTTTTTAATTTTTATTTATTTTTATTTTTTTATTATTTTTTTTCTCAATCCTCTGTCTAATGCCTGTTCAGCTTACTGTTGATTAGTACACTATCTCTCCCTGTTTATATCTTTGAAATTTTTTTTATTTGTTTGTATTGGTTTTTTTTTGTTTGTTCACTTGTATTTTCCTCTTTCTTTAACTTCTTTGCTTTCCCTCTCCTCTCACCCTTCCATTCTAAATATCACCATTGTTATTATTACAAGCTAGAAAATACTTAATTGCACACAGTACAGGGACAATAACAACACCAAGGGGCAATGACAGGAAGACAGAAAAAACAGGGAAACCAGTTTCCCCACAGCAAAAAATTAGTACAGGAACCAGAGGGAAATGAAGAAAACAGATACTCAGGTCCAGACTCCAAGAAAATGAAGATAAACTATGCCAAAGAACCCAATGAAGCCTATAAGAATAATCTAAAAGAAGAACTACTACAGGTAATCAATGAGAATTTTATAGAGATAATACTGGATATGGTCAACCAAAATGTACAGGAGACACTCAAGAAATTCCAAGACAACAAAAATAGAGAATTTGAAAAAGCAAAGAAGAAATAAAGGAAACCATAGAAGCACTGTATAAACACCAAAGTGAAACAAAGAACACAATTAATAAAGAGATAAATGAACTCAGGACGAAAATAGACATTAAAGAGGAAACAACTCAGGATATGGAAAACCTCAGAAAAAAGAATGAAACAGAACTGCAAAACAAAATAGAAGGCCAATCCAGCAGAATAGAACAAACAGAAGACAGAATCTCATAACTCAAAGATGAAATGGTAATTAAAGGAAAAACGAAGAACTATTATTAAACAACTCAAGACCTGTGAAAAGAAAATGCAAAACTCACTGACTCCATCAAAAACCAAACCTGAGAATCATGGCATGAAGAAGGAGAAGAGTGCAAGCAAAGGGAATGCATAATATATTCAACAAAATAATAACAGAAAATTTCCCAAATCTAGAGAAAATCTATTCCCATACAGATGCAAGAGCCTCCAGAAACAAACCAGATCAGATCAAAATAGAACTACCCACGCATATCATCATTAAAACAACAAGTTCAGAAACTAGGAAAGAATATTGAAGGCTGT